GTGTGGCCTGAAGAAAACTAGGGAGATTTCCCCAACGTGGTTGAGTTACCTGGCCCCAAATGATGCCATAGAGTTACCATGGGTCAAGACAGTTAGACAATCCTTCTCTCGTGCCACCATGGAGTTGCCATGGGACGGGTTACACTATCGTTTTGGAAATGATAACGGAAAAAGTTTTGAAAATGGGGAGCGACATTGCATGACATTGCATTCCATAGCATGAGATGGTTCTTTTATGACTTAAATTATTGTTGTTGATGTTGTGGTTATATTTTTTCCGGAAATGGCATAATCCCGAATTTTTTTTCCTATTCCTTGTTTGGATTCACTGGGTCACAAGAGGTATGTCTTAGGTACCTCCTATAGAGCCATTGTGTTCACCCCTTTATTATTAATATTTTTCAGGGCACGGAAAGAATGTGGCGGACGACTATCCACCACAAATTAGATGGGATTGGAGATTCATATTTTGCTATTTTTGTTTTAAAACTTTAATATTTTGTAAATGTAAATCTTGACTATTCTGTAAAACTTAGTATAATTTGTATAATGTTATAAATTATAGACTTTTGATTTCAGCTGTATTTCATGGATTGTACATTGATGTAATTAGAATATGTTCCTTGCAAATGAGTATGGGACTAGGTAGTGGACTGGCACTTTCATGTTTTTAAAGGAATTGGAGGAATGAGACTCTTTTTATACGTATGTTGTTATTTTGGGAATGTTTTATATTATTTGCATTGTGCATTGGGACAGGATAGATGAGTTTAAGGCCAAATGAGGCTATTACTTTTTCTATGCAGTTCAACAGGTTGTGATAGGACCTTTTTAGCAGAAGTCATGCCGATTTTTTTTTTTAATTATTATGACTGGTAGCATTTTGGGTCATTACATTAACTACCTTTTGTTTTTTTCCTTCAATATTCTTTCAGATCCAATCAAGAAAAAACTCATAGATTGGAGAAAACGTGCCAACATTATTAAAGGAATTGGTCGAGGCCTTCTTTACCTTCACAGGAATTCCCGATTAAAGATTATTCATAAAGATTTAAAGACGAGCAATGTTCTATTGGATGAAGATCTTAATCCAAAAATTTCAGATTTCGGCATGGCAAAGATTTTTGGAAGCAACCAAGACCAAGGCAACACTGGAAGGGTTGTTGGAACATAGTAAGTAACCTTTGCTTTGTCCGAAATGATAAATCATTCATGTTATATTCCTTCTTTCTCATGGGATAGTTCAACTCAAATAATTTTACTATTTGGGCTGTAATGACAAAATGCAGCGGCTACATGTCTCCTGAATATGCAATGGAAGGGCGATTCTCGAAAAAATCTGATGTCTTTAGCTTTGGAGTAATATTGTTAGAGATTGTAAGTGGGCGAAAGAACACTAGCTTTTATCACGATGAGCACTCTTTAAGCCTTCTAGGATTTGTAAGTTCGTTCACCTGAACTGTTGCCTCTGTTACTCTATAGTTCCTTTTAATCTTTCTAATTTCAACATTTGATGGTTGTGTTACTGTGTCCAGGCATGGGAGTTGTGGAATGAAGATAGGATTGTAATGGTAATTGATCCAACCATTTCTGATCCATACTTCCAAGTGGAGATCTTGAGATACATACATGTAGGTCTGTTATGTGTCCAAGAATTCACCAGAGATAGGCCAACTATTTCTACTGTTCTCTCAATGCTTAGTGGTGAAATTGCAAATCTTCCAACTCCAAAGCAACCTGCCGTTACTGAAAGAGAGATTCTCCCAAATAAAAGCTCTTCTCAACAGAGCCATAAGAGTTGTTCTGCGAACAATGTCACTGTTACAGTCATTGTCGGCCGTTAGCATGTATGTACTCTTTTGCTTGTTTCGTTCCTAATGTACAAAGTTTTGTTTTTCCCATTGTTGTTGTCATTTTTTTTCCCAAAAGCCAGCCTTTGCCTTGATCCATTCATGTTGATGCTTTTTGGAGAAAACATGTTTCTATAATTCATCCAAGGCTTCCAATCTTTGGGTCACTCTGGCAACTTCTTACTTTGCATTTCATATGAAAAACAACCTTTCAAATAACTTGCCTGGCAAATTTCATTAAGAAGGCAACTAATTTCTTTTTGTCCCTAACAATGAATCAATAATCAACTTTATTAATAAAAAATAAAAACAACAATAATAATATGATCCTTCTAGATTCAACTAAGCACTATGGTCAATTTATTCATTGTATTTGGTGACATCTCACCATCAAAAGAAAAGTAAAAATAGAATGCAAGTTAAATGTATCTCTCGTGTCTTGACATTGATGATATTATAATGTATATATTTATTCAGCCCAATTTGGTATTTGGTATTTGTGTAGAAATTTATTTATTTATTTATTAATTTATTTTGGGTTGACTAGAGGGATGTCCCTACTGTTGGGGTGGGAATTTTAATCCTCTGTACAAGTGACTGATCCAATGTCATGCATCAAAAGGTGATTCATGGAAGCTTCAAATCCTTTTTTTAATCATTTTTATGGATTAAAAAAGACTGCAACACATTGTTGAATAATGCTAGCTACCTACCCCACGGATAATTCATTCTTCTTGTAGGGCTTCTTCCGTGAGTAGTTTTTTAGAAAATTTTCTGCCTGTTGTTTGGATTTACAAAAGTAGAAATCTAATTTGAGTTATTTAATTTAATTACTTTGTTTAATTATACTAACTTCCCTGTGGAAACAAAAGGTATTGATCCAAGTGTTTAACACGGGTGCTACCTAGACAGGTGATATCCATGCTTCGAAGAAACATGGAGATAGGCAGATTGATGTTCAAAGTTTCATATGAGCGAGCAAAGTCAAAATAAAAAATTCCACTTTCTTTATTTGCCTTGGCCCCCACAGTTCTAACCATCATCAGTTGATCACCACCTGCCCTCTTTGTCAATATATTTTATATTTTATATCGACATATCTACATATGTTTTCTTTGTTACACCTGGCATTCAGATTTTGGTAATCTCTCCTTCCAAAGTTTTCAGCTGAACCAAATGGACTATTGAATTATTCAACTGTGGCTAACCCCTTCAATTGAATTGTACTTTGGCAACAGATGAGAAGACATCACACCTTCCATCTTCACCAACAAGAAGCACTCAACAGAGTTATCGGACTGCAATGGTACGTACAAGCTTAATGCCTCTTCTTCTAATCCTTGTTCTTGTATCTTACTATTTTTGTACCTTAGAATTTTGCACTGCCACAGATACAGTTACATCAACTCAACCCATCAAAGACACTGAAGCTATAGTCTCCAATGGTGCCACCTTCAAACTGGGATTTTTTAGTCTTCTTAATTCTACCAACCGGTATGTTGGTATCTGGTACAACGACATCTCTGCCAAGGCTGTGGTATGGGTCGCCAATAGAGATAAACCTCTCAATGACTCTTCTGGTACTCTGACAATTTCCAAGGATGGAAATCTTGTAGTCTTGGATGGACAGAAACAGATTGTTTGGTCATCAGATGTTCCAAATTCTTTGGCGAATTCAAGTGCCCAGCTTTCAGATTCTGGGAATCTTATCTTGCGAGATGGCTCCAATGGAAACATAATATGGGAGAGTTTTGAACACCCTTCTGATTCTTTCTTGCAGGGGATGAAACTTAGTACCAACAAGTTTAAAGATAAGAAGATTCAGCTGACCGCATGGAAAAGCCCTTCAGATCCATCCACTGGAAGTTTCACTTTTGGCATCAATCCTCTGAATATTCCAGAAATTTATGTATGGAATGGTAGTCATCCATACTGGCGCAGTGGCCCATGGAGTGGGCAGATTTTTATTGGCATACCTGGCATGATTTCTGCATATTATGGCAGATTTGAAATTGTAGATAATAATAACGAAGGAACCGCAGACCTAAGTTACACATATACAAACAAGTCTTCTCTGTTATGCCTTACCTTAATTTCTAACGGAACTCTAATTCAGAAGCAAAAGGAGGTAGGAAAGGGGACTTGGGAAACTACGTGGTCCTCTCAAGAAACTGAATGTGACGCATATGGCAAGTGTGGTCCATTGGGAAGCTGCAATATTGTGCAGGGTTCACCAATTTGCACCTGTTTACAAGGTTTTGATCCAAAGGATATGGATGAATGGAAAAGAGGAAATTGGTCCAGTGGATGTGTAAGAAGGAGGCAACTGCAATGCGAGAGAAACAACAGTGATGGTGGTGAAAAGAGCAAAAAAGACGGGTTTCTGAAGCTAAAGACAGTGAAAGTGCCGGCCTTTGCTGAGTTGCTAATTGCTTCAAAAGATGACTGCAAAAGCCAGTGCTTGAATAATTGTTCTTGTATGTTCTTGTATAGCTTATACATATTATAGTGGCATTGGTTGTATGAAGTGGAGTGGAGAATTAATTGAAATACAGGAATTTTCCTATGGTGAGGCAGATCTTTACATTCGTGTAGCATATTCAGAACTTGGTAATTTTTTTCGTCATCCTTAAGAAAATTAAATAAAATAGTAATATGTGCTACTAGTAATCCTTTTTTGCTTCTTCTGTTTCTTTTACTTGTTGATTGAGAATAAGCAAATATCACTTGAATTTGAACCATTGCATATACTAAACATGTTAGCCACTTGACATTTGTACTCTAATTTAGAAACGTGTGAGTCTATTTTAAAAGAGAGCCATGGAAATTGTCTAAAGTCTCAATTTTTGTTGTGTTCTACAGGAAAAAGGAGAAGCTCAAAACTAGTTGTCACAATTGCAGTGGTCATAGTGTCAGTAACCGCTGCATTCTGTATCTATCTTTTCTAGAGGTGGATGGCTAGACCACAAGGTATATGTCCATTGAAATTAGCTCAAGAGATTAAAACATATTTGCTGTTATTATGTAGATTATCTATTAGTAAATTTTTATTCGGGAAGGAATAAAAAAAGTGAGATATTGCTATCTAAAAGAGGGGAAGAGAATTTAGATTGTTCAAATCAAAGCATGCTTGGAGATTATTTGAATCAAATGAAATTTGAAGAGCTACCTCTATTCAGTTTTGAGAGACTGGCAAATGCAACAGACAAATTTGATGTGGCCAATAAACTCGAACAGGGTGGTTTTGGTCCAGTGTACAAGGTAATGGTTGTTCATCTTGAGCTTTTACACTGCACCCCAGAAAAAAAAAAAAAAAAATATATATATATATATATATATATATATATATATATATATATAAATTTCATCTTTATTTTCAGGAAAAATTGCCAAGCGGACAAAATATCGCTGTCAAACGACTTTCGAGATCCTCTAGACAAGGACTGGAGGAGTTTATGAATGAGGTGGTGGTAATTTCCTAACTCCAGCATCGCAATCTTGTTCGACTTCTTGGTTGTTGTGTGGAAGGAGAATAAAAGATGTTGATATATGAATACATGCCAAATAAAAGTTTGGATGCATTTCTCTTTGGTTAGTTCATGATAAAGTTAAATATGTTATTTCAATACCATAACCTTTTCTTTTGTAGTCTTTACTCTTTAGGGACATGCTGATCTACTAAAACTATAATTTTTGTCTCAAAATAATTTTATTCTCACTACAACTTTTGATAACCTACTTCTTTTCTTGTTTTTTCTTCCTTCAATATTCTTCCAAATCCAATCAAGAAAAAAACTCCATGATTGGAGAAAACGTGCCAAGATTATTGAAGGGATTGGTCGAGGCATTCTTTACCTTCACAGGGATTCCAATTTAACAATTATTCATAGAGATTTAAAGACGAGTAATGTTTTGTTAGATGAAGATTTAATTCCAAAAATTTCAGATTTCGGCATGGCAAAAATTTTTGGAAGCAAACAAGACCAAGCCAACACTAGAAGGGTGGTTGGAACATAGTAAGTAACCTTTGCTTTGTCCGAAATGATAATCATTCATGTTATAATCCTTCTTTCTCATGGGATAGTTCAACTCAAATAATTTTACTCTATGGGTTGTAATGACACAATGCAGCGGCTATATGTCCCCTGAATATGCAATGGAAGGGCGATTCTCGGAAAAATCTGATGTCTTTAGCTTTGGAATATTGTTATTAGAGATTGTAAGTGGGCGGAAGAACACTAGCTTTTATCACGATGAGCACTCTTTAAGCCTTCTAGGATTTGTAAGTTCGTTCACCTGAAGTGTTGCCTCTGTTACTCCATTGTTCCTTTTAATCTTTCTAATTTCAACATTTAATGGTTGTGTTGCTATGTCCAAGCATGGAAGTTGTGGAATGAGGATGGGATTGTAATGCTAATTGATCCGACCATTTCTGATCCATGCTTCGAAGTGGAGATCTTGAGATACATACATGTAGGTCTGTTATGTGTCCAAGAATTCACCAGAGATAGGCTAACTATTTCTACTGCTCTCTCAATGTTTAGTAGTGAAATTGCAAATCTTCCAACTCCAAAGCAACCTACCTTTACTGAAAAAGAGATTCTCCCAAATAAAAGCTCTCCTGCAAACGTCACTGTTACAGTCATTGAAGGCCGTTAGCATGTATGTAATCTTTTGCTTGTTTCGTTCCCAATGTACACTGCAATCGAATATACAAAGTTTTGTTTTTCTCATTGTTGTTGTCATTTTTTTTTTCAAAAGCCAGCCTTTGCCTTGATCCATTCATGTTGATGCTTTTTGGAGAAACCCTGTTTCTATAATTCATCCAAGGCTTCCAATCTTTGGGTCACTCAGGCAACTTCTTACTTTGCATTTCATATGAAAAACAACGCTTTCAAATAACTTGGCTGGCAAATTTCATTAAGAAGCCAACTAATTTCTGTTTTTTTTTTCCCTAACAATAAATCAATAATCACCTTTATTAATAAAAAATAAAAATAAAAACAACAATAATAATATGAACCTTCTAGATTCAACTAAGCACTTGGTCAATTTATTCATTGTATTTGGTGACATCTCTCCATCAAAAGAAAAGTAAAAAAATAATGTAAGTTAAATATACCTCTCGTCTTGAGATTGATGATATTATAATGTATATATTTATTCAGCCCAATTTGGTCCAATGTCATGCCTACCCCAGGCTTATTCAGCCCAATTTGGTCCAATGTCATGCCTACCCCAGGCTTCTTCCTTGATGGCAAAAATTTTCTGCCAATTTTTTTTTTTTTTTTTTTTTCTTAGTTAGTACTCATACACACTTGTCTCTTCTGAGACTTAAATTTCTGACCTCTCTTTGCAAAGTAAGAGCCTGATATCGTTAGGTCACTGGCCCGTTGGTAATTTTTTGCCAATATTATTTGGATTTACAAAAGTAGAAATCTAATTTGAGTTATTTAATTTAATTACTTTGTTTATTTATACCAACTTCCATGTGGAACTTGATTATCCATCCTCACATCAAGAGTGCCCTTAAAAATGCTAATATGAACATTTTATCTCTCTCCCATCTTCACATCAAGCAAAAGATGATGAAAGAAATAAAATTTTATGTAATATATGAAGCAAGACGGCTTAATCCACTTAAAAGGAAACGTGTAGCACCATTTTTGTACGGTCGTGAAAGTAGTTCATGCATTTATTTTGCTCCTACGGTTTATCTAGAATGATTTCTAGCAATTTTTTTACTTGTTTTAACATCTCCAGAAAAAGAAATGGAGAAATGAAGATAAGATTGTAACACTAATAGATTCTAACAATTTCTGATCCATGTCTCCAAATGGAAATCTTGAGATAAACCAACTACAAATGTTGGGTAAGCAAGAATTAGCCAGTGATAAACCAACTACTTTAACTGTCATTTTAATGCTTAATTGTGAATTTCACTGTCATATTGCATCTTCTAGGCAGAGCCAAAGGAGATGTGTGATTTAGACCTTTAAACGGGTCGGATTCAAATCGAATTATAATTTAATTTTGATACGAAATATTCGACTAGATAAGAATTTCAAGTAACATGGAGACTCAAAGGGTATGAATAAACTTGAGGAAATAAAAATAACGATTATTACCCTCTCCAATGACTCTTAAATCCGTAATGGACAAGGAAAGTAAATTTGTTTCATGATAGAAGACTACTACCGTTAAAGCTTCTATAAAAGAAGTCATCAGTCAAACTAAAAAAGTACGCTATAAATTTCATATTTAATCCTTATTAGACTATAACAACCCTAAACTGATACCAATTAAAAATAATAATAATAATAATAATAATAATAAATAATAAATAAATAAATAAATTGGCATGACCTGTTAAAAAGGGACCTCCAACAATCTACTTAAATTATAAAAAATAAAAAAATAATAATAAAATGCAATGCCTTTTCTTGATCCTTCAAGACTTATCCAACCTGCCCCAACACACAATACAAAAAAATATAATACAAGCCCAAAACAACAACATCAGCAATCTCCTCAAGATGGCCATCATCATCATTACATTCAACACAAAATATTTACATAGTCTCGCTTCCCTTCAAAATACCAACAAGAGTTATAGTTTAAAATGCATGACCATGTCTTGCAAAATGTGTACACTTCACTATGGTTTTGAGACTTTACAAAAGTGTAGCAAAATACAAAAGATAGCAAAAAATATATATATTCCTAGTCCTCCTTAATTTTTGTGAAGGGTCTGCATCTCCTACTTCCTTCCCGAGTCCTGAAAAAATGTGAAATGTAATGGGGTGAGCAAATTGCTCAATAGGTGGTGCCTAAGATACATCTCTTGTAACCCCGTGAATCCAAACAATGAATAGATCAATAGGAATTAAGCGAGATAATGTTAAGCCGGGGGAAAATACAACATTAATTTCAAATTCAAAAATAAACAATGTTGTGCCATGATATGCAATGCCATGTATGTCACTCCCCATTTTCAAAATTATCCATTACTTCAGAAACTGTTAATATAACCCGTCCGTTGGTGACTCTGCAGTGACACAAGAGAAGGATTGGCTACTGTCCTTGACCCTTGGTACCTCCGCGGCATCATTTGAGGCTCAGCTAGCTCAACCACGCTAGGGTAATCTCCCTAATTCCCTCTAGGTTATATTAATACCACGGCCCTTTGGTGACTCCGTGGCAATCGAGTTTTTCATAAAATCACTTTAATCAAAACTTTGCCCCAAAATCTCTTTTTCATTTAGTTCAAATCATTTTGCTCCTTTTTCCATGCCCAATGCTATAAATGCATGTCACATACTTTGACATCACTATGAAAATAAAAGAATTTCTACTATATAATTTAATATGCTTCCACATAACAAATTTCTAGCAAAATAATAAACACCATGGTATAAAAATTAACACTTAGGCATGCTTTTTATACAATTTAATTACTACACATAATCATATATTTTATCTACAACAATAATATCATTTCTAAAGCAATCAACTTAAATTAAACATGCTTAACAACAAATATTGAAAGAAAATTCACGAGGGAACAAGAAATTGGGAATTAGAAACTCCTACCTCAAATTAAGCAAGAACTCCCAAATTTGTGCACAAGATCTCAAATTTCCTAAAGTGCTTCAAATACGAAATTACTCCGATCAATTTGTAGATCTCGCCATGATCTTCAATTTGCTGCAAACGGTTCCCAAAAATGCCAAGAATTGTGGGAGAAATCAAGGTTTGAATATTAAAATCAAAAGAAAAAGAAAAAAGTCTAGAAAGAGGGGGAAGAGAGAGACCAGTGGGGTGAGAGAGAAAAAAGAGAGGAAATGTGGTCTCTTGACCAATTAAAGTGGTGGTGGGTCCCATCATTAAAAATATTTTCTTTTCTTTTTATTTATCTCCTCATTTTACACCACACAAATATATATATATACATATACTCATATTAATTTACAACCACATAAATTATATTAAACAAAATGATTTATGATGCAAATGGACCCAAACAAAAATCCTGTACGCAACAATTCCGGTTGCGGGTCTCACACGGGACCGTTCGGCCAGAAAACGGAAAAATGTAAAAATGACAAACCTTATATTTCAAAGAATCCTAAACTCAATGAAATATCCCAACCAACACTCGGACACAATCGACACACCCCACGGTATTCAGTACGCAAAACGGCAAAAGATGAAAATGTCCTTGAAATAACAAAATTCCAAAAAATGGAAAATGATAAAAAATGAAAATATTATACGGACATTCAATCGTTAAGTACTAACTTGACCGTCGAAGTGCTCCCGACTGGCACCACGCCGGTCATCACTTCTCTCTTGTCATGCAGGAATCGCCACCGACTCCGGAATATGCAAATTTTTACTTTACCAAATTTTATAATATATAAATTGGATAATTATATATTATATTATAATGAATTATTATCGAATTGGATCGACCATAATTCATATATGATTTGTTTAGCTAACGAATTATCGAATTCGAATCATTAACGAATTAGCGAATTAAATTTTCAATTCTTATTCGAATCAAAATGCACTCCATTCGCAGGTCTAGTGTGATCACAATGCCACTAATGCAATTATTAAAGGTGCGTCAATTCTTGAAATTGATTTTTCCCTCATATACTCCTTTAATTGAATATAGAAGTTTTGTTTTGTTTTAGCATATAACTTTGTCAACAATTTTATAAAAGTCAACTTTTGCCTTGATCACATCCACATTGAAGATTTTGACCTTTTTACCAAACTTCTTGTCTTTGGGGTTCATTCATCTGGTCAGGCAAGGAACTATGGCAAATTAATTATTGGCCTAATTGTTAGAGCTCAGCTTTCAATGTGTTCAGATTTGAGTCCTCTCCCTCCTTAATTTATAAGGATAGAAATAATAATAATAGTATTTCGTAATAAATAAATAATAATTAATTACTTGAGCAATAAGTTATGCAAGAAAATCATCTCCTGTGCTATATATTATATTATAATGAATTATTATCGAATTGGATCGACCATAATTCATATATGATTTGTTTAGCTAACGAATTATCGAATTCGAATCATTAACGAATTAGCGAATTAAATTTTCAATTCTTATTCGAATCAAAATGCACTCCATTCGCAGGTCTAGTGTGATCACAATGCCACTAATGCAATTATTAAAGGTGCGTCAATTCTTGAAATTGATTTTTCCCTCATATACTCCTTTAATTGAATATAGAAGTTTTGTTTTGTTTTAGCATATAACTTTGTCAACAATTTTATAAAAGTCAACTTTTGCCTTGATCACATCCACATTGAAGATTTTGACCTTTTTACCAAACTTCTTGTCTTTGGGGTTCATTCATCTGGTCAGGCAAGGAACTATGGCAAATTAATTATTGGCCTAATTGTTAGAGCTCAGCTTTCAATGTGTTCAGATTTGAGTCCTCTCCCTCCTTAATTTATAAGGATAAAAATAATAATAATAATATTTCGTAATAAATAAATAATAATTAATTACTTGAGCAATAATTTATGCAAGAAAATCATCTCCTGTGTTATAAGAGAACCTGTGCCATTCGGTGAGTTAAAATGATAAAGGTTAAAAGTTAAAAAAATAAAACTTTCGTGTATCATTACACACATACATACAAGATACTTTAAGATATACGTTAGGAAAATGTTGGGATGCTAGTAAGAAGAAAGTTGAAATATACTCTATGAAAATGTTGTGATGTAAGGTTAATGTCCCAACATTTTCCTGACATGCATCACAAACAAGAGAAAAATATGAATAGTGGGATACTAGTAAGAAGAAAGTTGTATTGTATATTAGAAAAATAATGCAATGCAAGGCTAACATCCCAATATTTTCTTAACATATATCCCAAATAAGATAAAGATATGAATAGTAGGATGTTGATAAGGAGAAAGTTAGGATATACATTAAGAAAATGTTGTGATGCAACGCCAACGTCTAACATGTATCCTAAACAAGATAAATAGATGAATAGTGAGATGTTGGTAAGGAAAAAGTTGAAATGTACATTAAGAAAATATTGTGATATACTGTATGTACCAAGATATGTTAATTTATGTATTTATATAATAAGTGAGATATTGATAAGTTGGTAAAGAGAAAGTTGTGATATACAGGTTGTATTAAGATAGGTTTATTTACATATTTATATAATAAGTAACTTAGGGTGAATTTTTAACTGACTTGTTTAGACAACGACTTGACTCACCAAAAACAAAATAATGTTCATTGACTCGGACAAAAAAAACTATAGGGGAAAAAATTATCCATAATTTATGCACCGAGGAGGGGTATAAGAAATAGAGTAGTGCTAGGCTCGCAATAGCACTACTCTAAGAAATAAAAATCATTTGTGGTGCTTGAGCAATCTTTGAAATCGGTGCCTTGATTTGAAGGTTGAAGTTGGAAAGTCATTTTCAATCCCATTGGATTTGTGGTATTCTTCAACATTTTGGAAAATGTGCACTCAAAATGGAGAATTTTTGTAAAATAATAATAATAATAAATAAATAAACAATAATTAATTACTTGGGCAATAGTAATGCACTGAGGAGGGGTGTAAGAAAGAAAAACCGTTTGTGGTGCTTGAGCAACTTTTTCTTTTCTCTACCAGTCTCGGAGCCTTCCTTGAATAGAAGGTTGGAAGTTAGAAAGTAACACTCTGATTTTCAGTCCCATTGATTTGTGGCATTCTTCAACTCTTGTAAAATTTGCACTCACAATTTTGAATTTTTGTAAAAATTCAAAAAAAAATTTAGAAAGTAACACTCTGATTTTCAGTCCCATTGATTTGTGGCATTCTTCAACTCTTGTAAAATTTGCACTCACAATTTTGAATTTTTGTAAAAATTCAAAAAAAAAAATTAAATTTTTTTTTTAAAAAATAGACCTAATTTTTGACCACAGACAAATCCGCGTTTACTGTTTGTCCAGGCTTTTACCAATATAGTGAACAATGACCCCTAATCCAGCTAGGATATTTTATTTCTGGAAGCAACAACCTAATTTCATGGTGTTGTTAGAACTACCATGACAGTTGCCATTTTTATACTATTAATTATGCACCTGCTTTTGTTGAAAATCAAATTTCTGTACCAACTGTAATTTTAAATTTAATTCCAATCAACAGATCATAACTCTCTTAATTCGGTATTGATTGTGCAAGTAAAATATATCTAAACGATATAATAAGCAATTAAGAATAAATACATATTTTAATATGATTTGCCAATTATTAGGGGTTTAAGACAATCAAAAACCTCCACCAAAGTAGGAGACTGACCAGCAATTTTTTTCCACACACAATAGAGAAATAAGATTATAAGGTTGAAATATTGCAGTGTTTATAATATCTAATTTCTATAATTTTGGGATTGGTGTCCTACAATCTTGGATGTTTGGTTGTCCAGAAAATATGAGAAAACAAACAACTGCTGAACTTTATTACATCTAGTTTGATCCAAAATTTAAGATTCAACCTCAAAAAAAATAAAAAATAAAAATAATAAAATCCTATATACTCGTATTTCAAATTGAGTAAATAAGTACCTTTTATGAATTTAAAGATTGAAATAGCTTAAATACTCTTCAAACAAAATAAAAATAAAAACATCAATTTTAATTTTTAAAATTTATATATATATATATATATAAATTGATCAAAATTAAAAAATAATACATATTAAAAAAGTAATTTGCACATATTTTTAAATATTAAAAATTTATATGTACACAGCAGAAGTGTGTTTTTGTTTTTGTTTTTTTTTTTTTTTTTTAGGTTTCTTTTATTTAACAAAATTGTGAAATTGCTACTACTAATTTACTAGGAGACCCAAATCACCTTCTGTTCTGCTCTCTACTGTCAGTGAATCCTCCTCCCCTAATTTAATTAGTTGTATCACCCACCTACCCTCCAAACCCTAACACTAAATTTAGTAATCAGTTGCTCAACCCTAAACTGTATCACTCTCTCTCTCTCTATTCAAAGATCGATGACGAGCTTCATCCTCAAGCCTCTCCTTCCATGGAGGAACATTCAATTCTCAATAATTGCTAATTAATGCTCTGAATTCCTAATTAATTTCGTTTTTTTGAATATTAAGTTTTTGTAATTGTTATCTTCTAAATTAAATACTCTGCTTGATTATCGAACCATCACCCAGCATAGATGTAAATCACAGTGTACAGAATATCAGATACACAATTGTTCTTCATTATTAATTTTTTTTATCAGCTTAAATTTTATTTTATTTTTTCTTTTCTAAATCTAATTACATGAGTAGTCATTTTATTATTATTATTATTATATTTTAACAACGTTCTTTAAATTTGTATACCGAAAAACTTGTAATTTTTTATAAGGTTAACTTCAGTTACATCTCCTAAGATATGTCAAAACTTCAAAAAGACCTTTTCATGTTTATAAAAATTCAGTCAGACTTCTTACTTTTTCTGACACAGATCAGTCACTCCTTTTAGTCAACTGTCAAAACTGATCAGAATTACTTTTTGCCAACATCAACAAAAAAAAATAAATTTTAATATCCAAATTATTCCTCAACGGTTATGTTTGGCTACATACTATCCATCTAACCAAACACTCCCCCGAAAACTCTCTCTCTCTTTCTCTGTGCAAACCCATTTCTCTCTCTAAACTTTGTCTCTCTGCAAACCCATTTTCTTGGTCTAATATTCTCTCCAATGGCTAAGGTGGCTCAACCAGTTTTCTGCGAGCTCGCGTCTTAAAAACCAACGGTTCCTGTTCCGGTTCAGAGGGTGAGGACCTCCGATGTGTCGTCGGCATCATCAACGGGGACGGATAAGGTGAAAATCGTGCTACATCCTCGTCTATGCACTCTCA